ATCCTGGTCACAACGTCATCTTGCAAACCACACTTTTCTCTTATCACACTATTTCTCACCCTGTCATTCAGATTCAGCCCTAGCATACTCCTTAAGGACTGCATTTCTACAGCATTTATTCTACTCTCATGCTTCTTCTGCCAGACCTAACTTTCACTACCATACATTAAAGTAGGGACTAACACAGCATTATGAATATCCATACGTGCCTTATTTGACACATTCTGACTCCTCATAGTAGCGTGTAGAGCCCCATTCACTCTATTTCCTGCGTTCACTCGTCGTTCTATATCCTTATCATATCTACCATCCCTGCTAAATAAACATCCCAAATATACAAACTCATCCACTTGCTCAATCAACTCCCCTTCTATTTTTATTTCACACAACATTTTACTTTCATCTCTTTCAAAAACCATCACTTTCGTCTTACTTGCGTTCACTTTCATACCTCTTTCTTTCAATGACCAGTTCATTAAAGTAACCATCATTTGCAACTCGGCCGCCGACGATGTAAATATGACTTGATCATCGGCGTACAAAAGGCATTTGCCGGTTAACTCACCCATTCTCAACCCACATTCTTCAACTTTCAAAGTTTGCAAACAACTGTCCATAAATAGGTTGAACAGCCACGGGGAAGTCACACATCCCTGTCTGACACCTTTATGAATGCCAAACCAGTCTGAGTAGACCCCGTTGATCCTGACACAAGCACTAGAGTCCCTATAAAGAGACCTTAATGCCTGTATTTAGCCAGCGCTCAACCCAAATGAGTTCAGTGTTTGCCATAACACATTCCTGTCCACTCTGTCATAAGCCTTTTCCAAGTCCATGAACGCACAAAAACTATCTGGTTTTTAGCCAAAAACTTCTCCGCACTCATGCGCATGGAAAAGACTTGATCCGTACACCCCATCCCCTTTCTAAATCCAGCTTGCACATCCCAAATTTTCCATCAGTTTCTTCCATTTCAATTAACACCTTAGCATACAGTTTACCCACAATGCTAAGCAAGCTGATACCACGGTACTTTTTACAGTCCTACTGCGAGCCCTTTCCCTTATATGTTGGGACTATAACGGCTTTGCACCAGTCTTCCGGTACCCGCTTCAGTTCCCAACGTAAATTAAACAAGGTACACAGCAGGCCTGCAACCACACCGTCTCCAGCCCTTAACATTTCGAGTGATATTCTATCATATCCGGCTGCCTTACCTGCTTTCATGCTTTTCATTGCTTTCATTATTTCATCTACACTTATCTCCCTACCTCTCTCCATTTCTTCCGGAATTTCTATTCCACTTAATTCAGACGACTCATCGCTCTTAAACACGCTTTCAAAGTATTCCTTCCATCTCTTTAAATTCGAAACTTCATCATTCAGCATGCAGCAATTCTCGTCTCATATAGCATTCATTCCAGGCTGTTTTGAATTTCCATATCATTCGTATAGATAAACATGAGAAAATACAGTTTTTTGATCAAAAACCTAGACTGATTTAGTTTTATGATAAAATCAATGTCGGTTCCTATTTCTTTAAATAAATAAAACAATTAGATAACCTAACCTAATCTAAGCTTAAATTCAAAGTCCATGTTTTTGATCAAAAACAATATATTTTCAGATTAATGATAAGATTAAGTAATAATTTTTTCCTCTACCGGTTCTTGTTCAAAACCATGATTTTACGGCATATATACCCTATATTGATAAGAAAGAAAAGTTCTCGGTTGGCAGTCTCGTATCGGTCGTAATAATAATGTCATCGAGACCAAGATCAAGACCAAGACCGGTCACGGCGGCCCGACTCAACAAAGACTAGCCATCTACACAGGACGGGATTATTGTGCACGAGTGTATGCGCCAGATCCAGTCTCATAGTTCAATGGAACGTTAATCCGACACGACTGGAGAGAGATCAGGCGCAGGACTTATGTAGGCGTACTTTACGTGCTTTCCGATGCACGGGGGTGAAACACCATCGACTTCTGACTCCGAGTCGCTACTGAGAATTTATTGACAGAAAAACTCAATAATATTGGCCCGACCCGGTATTCAAACCCGGGACCGCATGGATAGCAAACGCGTTCACGAACACGAGACCAACGAGGTAGTCAAAGTGTAGGGCGCCCCCCCCCCCCACGACGAACCCATTATGAACTGGTGAGACATGCAGGAAGTCGATGGGTGCTGGTGGCTTAGGACCGTGTTTTGTGGCTTTTCTCGAGGGGGGGGGGGATCCATGTTCAGCTGTACACTTATGAAGAGCTGTTATGATGATAATGACGGTTAACCGTGTATTAATTACACTCATGTTTACTTATAACCCAGAAATCCTTTGAATCTGACGATATAGATATAACACTCAGTGTCAACTAAAGCTTCCAGTTATATTCAAAAATTTATACGAGTATTCATAAATATTCAAAAATGAATACGAAATTACTTAAGCAGCCCTATAACCTGACGGCTCTAAAGCGCAGTTATCCTTTAGTTCAAATTCAAATTCTTTATTTGCTAGTAAATTGGTACAAAAATATTTTGTTCTTGGTGTTATAGCAATGTCTTGAAGGGTATTTATTAAGTGGCGAAGCTTGCGAAGTCACTTATTGATTTCACGATGTCTGTCCGTCTGTCCCACGATTATCTCGAGAACGGTTTCAAATTTTCAAATTCTGTTTCCAGCAATCGATTACTGATCACCCAGTCATCTGAACCTCTTATTTTGAAACTGATAGCTCAACGGCAACCGTTAGAAACCGCTACAAAGCTGATTGCTTCGCCACTTTGCTATGCTGTTAGCTTGCTACGTTTATTTTTTTTTGTTTGGCTTATTTTTGAACTCAAACATGTAATATGTAACTTATTTCAGAAAATAAAGGCTTTATTATTATTGGGGTTATCTATAAAGTTTTCTGATCTGGTTGGGCTGTTCAAATATATAATTATAAAAGAACTATATAAACATACATAAATATCAATAAAATAGTATAAATACATAAAAAATACATAAATATATAAAAAAACCCAACCAGATGGAAGCCCTCGGCAGGGGAGACCAAACGGCCGAGGGTTAGGGGGAAAGGGAAAGAAACCGGCGAACGATGCGGACGGTATCGAGGAGCACCGCCTTCTGCATTTGAGCTTGGAGCGGTCCGTCACGGAGTCCCAGTCGCCTCAGATGACCCGAGAGGCTAACTGGGATTAACCCGTTCGCAGAAACGACCACAGGAATAATTTCGGCCGGCAGACCACCCCACATGTCGGTCACCTCGTGAGCCAGGTCCAGATATTTTGTCAGCTTATCTGTTTCGGCTTTCACGAGGTTCTCGTCATAGGGAATGGTAATATCGACCAAAAATATTTTTGACTGTGCCCGGTCCATCAGCACAATATCAGGCTTATTCGCAAGAATAGTCCTGTCTGTGATGATGGCCCGGTCCCAGTAGAGCCTGGCGTGGTCATTTTCGAGCACGGCTTCCGGCAAGTACTTATAATATGGCAGTTTCCGATCCACGAGACCGTATTTCAGAGCGAGCTCCTGGTGTAGAATCCTGGCTACTAGGTTGTGTCTGTGCAAATACTCAGAGTTAGAAAGCGCCGAACAACCGGAGATGACATGCCTAAGTGACTCACCGGGATGGTGACAAGCTCGACAGATGTCGACGGTACCATCCTTTAGGATGTATCTCCGATAATTGTTGGTCTTAATAACCTGATCCTGTATTGCACAGACAAAACCCTCAGTTTCCCCAAAGAGGTCACTGAAACGTAGCCAGTGGAGGGAGGCGACTGTGTCTACGAAAGGCTCATGAAGGGCCTTGTAGAACCTCCCGTGGAGCTCCTTCTCCTTCCATACGGTCTCCCGGTCGGAAATGCTCTGTACTGCCAGGTCTTGCCATTGCTCGTTGGCTAAGGATAGAGGGGTTAGCCCTTTATCACAAGAAATAACGTCCCTATAGTATGGATCATCCGCTCTCGTCAGAAAGTAATTACGGAGGCTGCACACTTCGCGATTATGCATGATAAGCGCGCTTAAAAAGCCGCGCCCACCATGCTTCCGCGGCAAGTACAGCCTCATTACTGACGATCTCGGATGATGCATCCTGTGGGACGTCATTATAGTGCGGACTTTTCTGTCCAGAGCGTTCAGTTCGGTCTGAGTCCACCTGAGCATGCCAAAGGTATACATGAGAACAGGCATGATCCAACCGTTATATGCGTGCGTCTTATTCACACCGGACAAAAGGCTATTAAGCACTTTGGTCAAGCGTGCATAAAACACATCGCAAACTGACCGTTTCATACCCGACTCATCTACACCGATGTTCTGTGACATACCCAGGTATCGGTATGTTTCAGCCTCGGAAAGGGTCCTTATGCTGACGGGCATAGATAAGTCTATGCCCTCAGAGCTAGCAACCCTTCCCCTTTCGACATGGAGGATCGCACACTTATCCGTCCCCAGCTCCATTCTAATAGAATTGCTAAAATCACAAGTGATGTTTAGCAATTCCATAAGATGAGAGCGACTGGAGGCGAATAATTTGAGATCATCCATATAGAAAAGGTGGGTCACTTTTGTACCTCCTCTCCGAAGCTGAAATCCCCTCCCGGAGCCCTCCAGTAAGGTACTGAGAGGGTTCAGAGAGAGGCAGAACCAGGTTGGACTCAAACAATCGCCCTGGAAGATACCCCTTCTTATCCTTATGTGGTTCTCCGCAGCCGTCATCCGCTCGCCTAGATGACAAAGGATCGTACTCCATTGCCCCATACACTGCCCGAGGAAGTCTCGAACTGTACAGTCAACCTTGTACAGCTCGAGGACCCTCTTAAGCCATTATTTTTATTATTATATTCACTACCAGTCAAGAACTCTATGGGTTGATTGGTAGAAAATTCCTCGTGGCATTAAGTCCGTCATTTGCATAATTTTGTAATAGGGAATGCAATAAACAATAAATAAATAAATAATTTAGGATATGTTTTTATTACAGACATGGATAAGCAGTTCTCCAAGCATCCAGAAAACATGACAGTTAATAGAGGACAACCTGTCGCTCTATCCTGTAACATCAGTTCTGGGCCTCCAGCATCTATCACCTGGTTGAAGAACGGCGAAGAGTTACTCCGGAATTCTAGGTACTTTTATTTAGTTTCTTTTAATAAGGTAAGGATGACAAACGAGCACACAGTCCACCCGATGGTTAGTGGTTACTGTTGCCCATATACATCTACATCTATCTTCGACTTGAATCAAAATGCAAATCCGTTGTCACCCGTGAGGACTAAGATGGAATGCCTCGTTTCCCGTAAAAAGGGCCTCGGTTTCGTAAACACTCACTTAAGCTGCTAATTATGCTGATATTCTGTAAGAGCGTGGTTCATCCTTGGTCGAGCTGTCCCATTCGTGCTACAACTATACTACTAATAGCTGCAGCATGACTCTACCACGTATAATGGTTATATTTTGACATATTACATAAATGTCGTAAAAGCCGAGCAAGGGAAATGCCGAAAAGATCTGAAGGCTTCGGACAGATAGTGGTCTCATCTCATTTAGGCCAGATGTAAATAGGTACTCAGGTCTGCACCGAGGCACATTATCAAATATGTAGTCGTCAATAATTCTGGCAAGCATGAAGATTAAGACAAATTTTCCCTACAATGGGAGACGCCATGTCAAACAGTGATTCTTTCGGGTCTCGATGTTTGTTCGTTTGCATATTATTATTATTGGCTATTATTTTTTAAACGTTACCTCCTCACTAGAATGTTTTCCTGTACCGTGGAGGCAGTTTACATACATAAATTGCACAAAGAAAAACATCCAGACCCGAAAAATTTATTTGTAGGCCACACAAATACCTGTTCTGTGCGGGATTCTAACCTGTGGCCCCTAGCGCCGCAACTCATTGCTAAGTCACTGTGCCAAGTAGCCGTCTATGTTATTGATATGTTTTGTATTTGTATTTTACGTGGTAGAGCCATGCTGTAGCTATATTAGTAGTATAGTTGTAGCACGAAATGGGTCGGCTCGACCGGGGAAGGACCACGCTCTCACAGAATAACCAGCGTAAAATAGCAGCTTGACGCTGCTGTCTTTCGTATGGTGAGTGTAGAGAACCGGAGACCCTTTTTACTGGAAACGAGGCATTCCATCTTAGTCTCTTAGGTGACGATGCATCTGCACTTTGATTCAGTATAAAAATCGTCATATAGTCCTGAGGGTGTCGTAGAGACGACAGAGGGAAACTGAAACAGGAGATGGGCAGCAGCATCTTCCTGATATGCGGTTTTTTTTTATAGGATAGGTTGACAAACGAGCACACAGTCCACCTGATGGTAAGTGGTTGCTGCGGCCCATAGATATATTCTATCCTCGTTAGCGAATCGAAATGCAGATGCGTCGTCACCCGTGAGGACTAAGATGGAATGCCTCGTTTCCAGTAAAGAAGGGTGTCCGGTTCTCTACACTCACCATACGAAACACAGCAGCGTTATGCTGCTATTTTACGCTGGTATTGTGTGAGAGTGTGGTCCTTCCCCGGTGGAGCCGAACCATTCGTGCTACAACTATATACTAATATAGCTGCAGCATGGCTCTACCACGTTGTAAAACTGCGGTTGCTAACTCGCCCGCTAAGGTTAAATCTCTCTTATTAGCCAATCTAAGGGGAGATCTATGTTACGACACGCTTTTATAGGCTGTAAGGGATGAATGGAAAGAGTAAACGCAAGAAAATTGTTAATGGTCATGTATTCTATCTAAATAAGATTAATAAGGATAAAACTTTTTTTCCAAGAATTAATGATATCCTACCAAAAACATGTACATGTGACAAGGAGGAACTGGTCCTCAGGACCAGTTCAGTGCTGACGATGTTCAGGGTTGTGGGCGGTACCGATAAAAGAGTTGCGATCTGGACGGTATTTATAATAATAATCTCTATATATAAAAAAAAAAAACGTGATTGTCGTGGAACACTCGGTTGGAACGAAGTTCCTTGCGTAGTATATTATTATTGATAAACATAGGTATTATATTATTGATTAACAACTACACTAGTGTCTATTAAAATGAAGTGTCATTTGAAATAAAATAATATTTCCGTCATGGCAAGATAAGAAAAAGTGCGAGGGAGATGGATATTATTCCATCACACTTCCTTCTTTTGCCGCCAAGGCCGCCTACACTATGATACAAGGGGTAGTTACGAAAAACAAAAGCTTACACTTTTTTTTAGCCTAGCTCCTATCCGCCAAACCCGTACTAAAAAAACTAAAAAAACGGCTCGACTGATTTTGATGAAATTTGATGTGTGCGTTTGAATGGGTCCCTAAATAGTTTGATATAATGTTTTAGATCACATTTGAATCCGGTAGATGGCACTGTTATGGGGATTGTCTAGTTTAAAATAAATATTGTGAACAAGCGTTTATTCAAATCACAAAAATCTTCTTTATTATTCAGTATCATAAAGCGACAACAATCGTATAAATTATACTGCTATGGAGCTTGGTGCCAGTTCAAATCCCTGAACGTCGTTTGTACCGAATTCTGTTCCCTTTCCAGATTTATGTATTTGGTGGGATACATTTTCAACTTCTTAGATATGCGGGTGTATTCACAATGTTCCTGTACCACCGAGTACTTGAACAAGTACTGTACTGTAAAGCATTTAAAGCAAGCGCTGATTCATTGAACTGCCTCTGCATATTATTTGTTGTTTTCTGAAATTTCTTTTCAGCGTATACATAATTTATTTTTTGTCTCAGATACCACATTCTGGATACTCAACTGTTGATCATGGATGCGAGACCAGAAGATTCCGGAACGTACAGGTATTTGTAATATTATTATTCAAGAGCGGCTGTGTAAAGCCGCGTCTCCACCAAAGTTTTGTTGCCAACACAACAGTTACCAACAAAACTTGTTTCCATTTTCGGCGGCAACATCAAAGGAATACGCTTGTTGCCAACATTTGTTCCCTCGGTGGAGACGCTTGTTGGAAACAGTTGTAAATAGTTGGAAACATAACTGTTGTCAACATTTTTGGTGGATACATGGCTTAAGAATTACCCCATTTTATTACACATATGACCCCATAAGAGGCGACAGGGGGAAACAAACCAGAACATGGGCAGCAGTGTCCTCCCTATAAAAAAAACTGCGGTTGCCAACCCGCCTGCCAAGCGTGGCAACTGTGGCAAATATGCAATTGTTCAGCGGTGGATTTTTGATAGGCTGTAAGGGTGACAGATTATATTTTAGCATTTCCCGTTAACTCCCAATTGGATCTCTGACCTACAAGGAACTCTCATATTGTTAGTCTTTTTAAGGGTGAATTCCACCAAACGAGAGTAAATTATATTCTTAGAATTAATCGCCATTTATTCAAAATTAAATAATATTTACCTTTTGCCACTTGCAACTCTAAGAATATCGGGCATATTATGGAATAATTACGAAACCACCCTTTCGTAGAGAATAAGAGAGTTATTTCCAGAATATTTTAATGGCCTCATGATTAGTTTTCATTGGTTTTACGGTCAGTGGCACTTTCGTCAGATACATTATATTTTACATTTACCCTCACTCATTTTGTATTTCAAAGCACCGAATAATATCAAGGAATAATACACACTGTATAAACAAAAATAGCGAATAAAACTTCTGCCTCGCAAACAACTCGACATTGACACTTGTCGGTAGCTATTTTAGACACTATTGTTGTCGTCACCACAAACACAGGGGTTTGTAAAAGAAAGACCAAATATTCCACATAAACATATATTATCATAAAATAATCCAATACCACAGCGTATACATAATATCATAGCAATTAAGTTCACATGTACTTTTTTATTTTTTATTTTAAAAAATTAATCAAAATGCGATTATGTCGCTCTATTTGCTATCATTAAGAACTCAATAACATTCAATTTAACAAGCATACGAAAATGAAAAAGAAAACTATCTAGTTGACTGATCTGAGGAGAATATTATGTTATATAATTTAACCAATAATTTTGTTTCATCAGATTGAGGATTGGATAAAATAATGTTACAATCAGCAAATTCCTTTGCAATATTTTACACTTAGTTATTCGAAAGGCAGCATTGTGGGCACACTCCATCAAAACATGCATTGAGTCTTTTTTTTTTATAGAAGAGGGGGCAAACGAGCATGCGGCTCACCTGATGGTAAGTGACTACCGTCGCCCATGAACAACCGCAACACCAGGGGAATTGCAGATGCGTTGCCGGCCTTTTAGAAAGGTGTAAGCACTTTTCTTGAAAGTTCCTAAGTCGTATCGGTCCGGAAAATTCGCTGGTGGTAATTGATTCCACAAGGAAGTTGTGCGAGGGAGAAAACTTCTTCTAAATCGCGCAGTGGTGGACCGCCAATCATCCAGATGGTATGGATGGTAACGCGAGTTTTGTCGCGATGTGCGATGGTGAAATTGAGCGGCTGGAATTAGTTCGAACAATTCCTCAGAGCACTCCCCGTGATAGATGCGATAAAATACGCAGAGATGCAACATCTCTACGCAGTGCCAGTGTATCGAGCCGATCAGAAAGAACTCGGTCGTCGACGATTCGAACCGCTCTGCGCTGGATGCGGTCAATTGGAAGGAGCTGGGGTGCCCCGGCCCAGAGATGAGAACAGTATTCCATAAGGGGCCGAACTTGCGCTATGTAAAGTTGCAAGCGATGTGCCGGCATGAAATACTGTCTCGTTCTGCTGAGCACGCCAAGCTTTTTAGAGGCCAATTTGGCCTTCCCTTCCAAGTGACCACGAAACTGCACACTATTCGATATGTCGAGGATTCCGATACTAGCTGAGGCAGCAAGGGGAGTGCCCTGAAACCGAGGAGATACGACAAAGGGGTTCTTTTTAGCGGTAAACGCGCAAACTTGTGTCTTCTGGGGATTGAACTGAACTAGATCTAGTCGGCCCCAATCCGAGACTTTGTTAAGCAAAGACTCGACTTCAGACACAAGTTTGTCCCGGTACTCAGCGACGTTTTCCCGAGAAATATTGGCACGGCCGGTATATAAGGCATCACCAGTGCTATCGTCTGCATAGTAATGAATGCTACCAGTTAGCAACATATCATTGATATGCAGGAGAAACAGCGTTGGTGATAGCACGCAGCCTTGTGGAAGACCAGCGTTGATAGGCTTGAAATCAGAGCATGCACCGTCTAATACGACCTTGATGCTCCGATCAGCAAGGAAACTGGTGATCCATTTGCACAATTTCTCGGGAAGCCCATAGGAAGGAAGCTTCGAAAGAAGCGCTTTGTGCCAGACCCGATCGAAGGCCTTCGCTATGTCCAAACTAACGGCCAATGCCTCCCCCTTGGACTCTACTGCCTCCGCCTATCTATGAGTCAGATAGACTAGAAGATCACCAGCTTATCGACCTCGACGAAAACCGTACTGGCGGTCACTAATCAGCTGGTGATCCTCAAGGTACCTCATGAGCTGGCAGTTTATAATGGATTCCATTATTTTGGAGAACAAGGAGGTGATGGCAATAGGCCTGTAGTTGTATGGGTCTGAGCGGTCGGCTTTTTTAGGGATCGGGTGGACCAAAGCTGTCTTCCATGAATTCGGGACTACGCCTTGGGAGCAGGAGTACCGGAAAAGACGCGTTAAAACCGGTGCCAACTGGGAGCACAGCACAATGGGAGGGACTCCATCGGGCCCACTCGACTTGCTGACGTCCAGGGAGAAGAGTGCTTTGCGAACCGAGCGCTGTGTAAATCGCATATCCGGCATGGAGCACTCACATTGCGGGATGGTCGGCGGTGTGTTCCCCCCGTCATCTAGAGTCGAGTTGGACGCAAAAAGAGAGCTCAACAGATCGGCTTTCTCCTTTGCGGCGTGGGCCAGTAAGTCGTCCTCTCTTTGCAGAGATGGAAGAGATGGCTGACAGAAGTTACCTTGGACAGCCTTGGGGAGAGACCAGAATGCATGGGTTCCCGAAGGAAGGCGAACTAGCTTCTTGCCAATTCTGTCGAAGTGCTCAGACCTTGCCTTGGCAATGACGCTTTTGAAGGACCTGGAGGTGGAATTATACTTCTTTTTAAGTGAGCTGGTGCTTACATCTCGAGACATTGATGCGTCAGCCCAGGCCCGGTAGCACTCCTGCTTATAGCGTGATGCCATTTTACAGGAGCGACCAAACCATGGCTGGGATGTGCCTCCAATGGGCACCACAGAGGATGGAATAAAAAGTTCCATACCCTGAAGTACCACATCAGCAACAGAATCGGCAACAACGCTGGGATCTTCCGGCGAGAAGCAAGCCCGCCCTCAAGGGTAGGATGTAAAAAAAGACTGCATCCCGTCCCAATCAGCTGACCTACAGTGCCAAACACGACGGCAAGCTGCAGATCGCAACTGCGATTGCAGCGTGAGTGGCACCGTACTCCGGATCAGACAATGGTCCGAAGAGCCCAGAGGGGCACTGACGGAGACCTGATATCCGTCCGGATGAGAGGTCAGCAAAAGGTCCAACAGGGATAGTACATGGTCTTCCACATATGGGATACGCGTAGGCGAAGTAACCAGTTGTGTTAGACCATATGCCAAAGCAAAGTCATAGACAGATCTACCCGCATGATCGGTCAAACGAGAACCAAGCCATTCAGCGTGGTGGGCGTTAAAATCACCGAGTATCACGATCTCTGCGGATGGGACCTGTTGTAGCACGGAGTCTGCAGCCATTTGGACGTGGTCGATGAGTCGGTCTGTGTCGGCATTACCGCTATGGGACCTATAGAGGCACCCGTAAACGCGGGGATGGGCGTCGCTGTCTACGCGCAGCTATAGGATGGACAGGTCCCGTACCTTCAAGACTGCCGAGGCGTCGAAAACAGATGTCCTCTCTGACGTATACGCAAACTCCAGCCCGGGGCACAAAGGAGTGTTCCAATTTGTACCCCGGGTAGGAGAGATATGAAGTATCAGCCGGAGAGGACACCTGAGTCTCGGGTAAAAAGAGCAAGGCTGGCTTCGCCGTCTCTAGATGGTAATGGACAGCGTTAAGGTTGGAATGAAGTCCCCTGATGTTGCAAAAATTCACGGATAGCGTGACAGGGGTCGCCTTGGTTGTATTGCTCCGCTTGCCCCGAGCAGCATTTTGCCCCCCCCCCCCCCAAATACGCGGGGCAGCCTGAGCACCCACGCTCAGGAGTGAAGTAGTTTGGTCGTGGATGTTCAGCGGGGGATTCTCCAGGGGTGCTGGTACCCTCCTGGAGTACTCTGTTATTTAATTCCACTATCATGTAGATGGGGGGGGGGGTGGAGCAATTGGGCCTCCGGCCACCTGCACTCATCAAGCGCAACGCAGAGGTAAACTTCTGCTTCACGCTGGTATTCTGTGAGGTCGTGGTACCACCCCGGTTCGAGCTCGCCCATCCGTGCGACAGCAAAAGCTACCGCTTAGCTCTACCACTGTTAAGAGGTATCTGAGGTCCTCGGGAACACCGCATTGTTCACAGTTTGGTGACGGGACTTTATTCATGAGAAAAGCAAACGTTTTGGTTGGAATGTGTCCAGTACGCAGCCTCATAATCCCTATTGTGTCCTTTCTCGGTAATATGAAGTTCACACGTACTTACAGTTTTAGTCTTTGTTTACAAAATACTTTTTCTTTTCTTTTTTCGTTACTCGACCCAGAATGCCTTTCTTTTTTAGTATGCATTCGAATAAACAGCCGAATCTATAGTTGAAGGATTAAATAATTGTGGATTGCTATTGTACAAGTGCCTATCGTAATAAGCAGAATGAATACCGACTTATTTAGGGTTGCCAGACAGAAGCTAACACTATAATTCGACAAAACCGAGTGGACACGATATTACCTTTTCCATCGTGTCATAATGGGACAATATTTAATTTCCGAATTTCAAATTTATTCATCAATCACTCTGCATTAGATTGCACGGGGAAACGATACAAGAATTTACTCGACATTTAAATCGCGAAGTAGCTTATCCGTTGTGTAATTAATCGTGTATAAATCCAGGTTTAGTCGAATCCACCATTAATGTATCACAGCGTACTTATACTTTTAGATGGAGTAGAACATAACAGATTTTTTATTCTATACTAGCTGCTCCCCGCGACTTCGCTCGCGTGTAATTTAGGGATTTAATTATATTGCTCAGTTATCTAATTCTTTTTATCAAATATAAGTAGCCTAAGTTACTCCTTAGAACATCAGCTATCGTTCAGTGAAATTTTATTTATTTGTATAGATAGATTACAATAATACTTATTGATCGTCATTTATGCTTTTACCACTGGTTCGAAAAAATATCTACCCTGAGAAGAACCTCTATACAAATAAATAAAATTGAAGTGTCCGTTTGTAATGTCAAAATAACAGCTTTTTACTAAATGCATATGAAAGTATACACTGTAATCATAACAAAACCACAATGTTTTTATTTTTTGTCTGTCTGTTTGTTCCGGCTAATCTCCGAAATGGATAGACCAATTTTGGCGGGACTTTCACTGGAAGATAGCCGATATTATAAAGAGTAACTTAGGCTATTTTTGTTTTTGAAGAAGAATTTGGGTTCCGCGCAAAAGAGTTAAAACACATGAAATCCAATCTTAATAAATTACACGCGGGCGAAGTCGCGGGGAACAGCTAGTTTACAATATAATATGTTGGACAATTTAAATGTGAAAACATTTGGAAACATCGTAGTAGCGACCACGTTATTCCCAGAGGTTATTTATCAATCATGTACTTTTTAGTAATATAATAACCCTTATCAAAAAATTGTTTCTTCAAATATTTGAAAGATTGTTCCTGCATATTTTCTTAGACTGCTTGCTGTAAAGGCGTATACATTTTTTTTTATAGGATAAGGGTGACAAACGAGCACACAGTCCACCTGATGGTAAGTGGTTGCTGTGGCCCATAGACATCCACATCTATCCTCGATTACGAATCAAAATGCAGATGCGTCGTTACCGTGTTGTAACCACAATATAGCTGCATCATGGCTCTACCACGTTAAAACATTGCCACATGAAGGAATTACTGACTGTGGAGTCGTATAACTGGTATTAGAACGGAGCGAAATGATTACTACAATTTACGTGGTAGAGCCACGCTGCAGCCGTAATATGGTTGTAGCACGAATGGGTCGGCTCTACCGGGAAGGACCACGCTCTCACAGAATACCAGTGTGAAATAGCACCTTAATGTTGCTGTGTTTCGTATAATGAGTATAGAGAACTGGAGATCCTTTTTACTGGAAACGAGGTATTACATGTTAGGTCCTCAGGGGTGACAACTCATCTGCATTTTGATTCTTAATCGAGGATAGATGTAGATGGACTGCATACTCGTTTGTCACCCTTATTCTATTTAAAAAATCTTATGTGCTTCTGCTAATTTATATTTCCTCTTCTAACATAATAGAAGGAATTAACTTAAAACTATTTGTTTTCCGGCAGCTGTATAGCAACAAACCAACTGGCGAACAGAAGCCGCGTGAGCCACAACGGCAGGCTAAGTATCCTCGACACCGTGGAAGATCAACCGGCTGGTTTGCTAGAAGTGCATCACGAATCCCAAATAGTCACACCAAAGGGATCACTTGTGGTGTTACCCTGTCTCGTTGTTGGATGGCCCAGACCAAAGGTGAGACCATAAAATTTATATATAAGAAATCATTTATGTAACTAATAAATAAGATAAAATTCTTATTTCTATTATTATCTTTATTAAATATAGAAAAGGGTGACAAACGAGCACACAGTCCACCTGATGGTAATTAGATACTGTGACCTATAATATAAACGTCTACATCTATACTCGATTATGAACCAAAATGCAAATGCGTTGTTACCCCTGAGGACTAAGATGGAATGCCTCGTTTCCAGTAAGAACGGTCTCCGGTTCTCTACACTCACCATACTAAAGACAACAGCATTAAGCTGCTATTTTACGCCTGTATTCTGTGAAATACAAAACAACGTAAAACATTTTTTGCTGGTTCTTCCCAGGACAGTGGGGTCTTATTTATTTTTATCAGCGACGGCTTTTGATTAGCATCAGGTGGACTGTATGCTCGTTCGTCACCCCAAATTATATTAATAAAAACTATCTTTTCTGAGGACTTAGTTGGAATGCCTAACATTAATTCGTAGTTGCTCATGCAATATGTTGAGTAAGACTGTTTCAAATATAATTAAAATCATTACATGGAACGAAAATGGCATAATATTATAAAAAACAGAAACTATGTTATGAAAAATAAAACTAATTATGGCGGAATAAAACGAAATGGCAAAAAAAAGGATAATGAAAAATATAATAGGAAATACAAATGCTACAGAATAAATAGTTGCAGCTTTTAAATACTCGTATATAAAAAAAGTTAGGTCTTCAGGTTTAAAATCTTAAGTTTTGCTTACATTGAGTGAAGTTACACTATAATCGATGTGTATAAAGAAATGCTTATAGCTGTAATTTTCTCTATCATTAAGTAGCAATAGGAAGGGACAGGTGCAGAAATAATTACGGCGGTAAAACATCGCTAACTTCCTGAACTCCTGCTTGGCAGGGATGGCAAAAGTCATGATTTTTTTAAATTTTAAACAAAGCATGCTGATTTTTTGAATTTTTTTTTGACAATTTTGTATATTTTGAAATTTACTAGTTGGTAACACTTTTAAACATAGTAGGATTAAAAGTTTATGAATACATATGTATGAAACTGATTAAGAGTAATTAATACTGTATTAATTACGGTTCATATCTTAAGTGTGAATTTCTAAAAAAATTTATGGTTGATTTTACTAAGTTTATGAGACTGACAGACCTCATTGCTACAGTCTTTGTTGTTTTTCCAAAGTTTATGAGACTATTGTAGTAGAATAATAGGAATAACATAAAACAACAAAAGATTTTACCTTATTTTAAGCCAGTTTTATTTCGATTTCTGCCTATTACAGTAATTTATACATGTTTATTTAAAACATGATTTTTTTTTAATCAAATTCAAGCGATTTCAATCGTGATTTAAATCGGTCTGATTGAAATCAGTCAACCCTGCTGCTTGGAACTGAGGATTTTACAGAAAAACCTAATAACTGATTTTGGCCCTACCCGCGATTCCTCCTCATGGAGACCTCATGAGCAACCGTGTTTACGATCACTAGATAAACGAGACAGTCAAAGTGTAGGGTGCTTCCCACTAGATGGAGTGACGAGATGCTATAATTTTTTATAGGATAAGGTGACAAACGAGCACACAGTCCACCTGATCGTAATTGGTTGCTGTGACTCATAGACATCTACATCTATCCTCAATAAAGAATCAAAATACAGATGCGTTTTCACCCGTTAGGACTAAGCTGGAATGCCTCTTTTCCAGTAAAAAGGGTCTCCGGTTCTCTACACTCAGCATACGAAATACAGCAGTGTTAAGCTGCTATTTTACGCTGGTATTCTGTGAGAGCGTGGTCCTTCCCCAGTGGAGCCGACCCATTCGTGCTACAACTATACTACTAATATAGCTGCAACATGGCTCTACCACGTATAAAATTCTTATACACATAATACTATTTTGCAGCTGATCTGGCACCTGACCCCTCCCGGCGAGAGGAGCAGCGAGCTCGAGACAACTGATGAGATTCTGATCCTGCGAAACCTGGAACTCGATCAGGAGGGCCTCTACACTTGTGCTATTGAGGGTCAACGCGATCTGATGAAGGTAGGCCTTAAGCTCACTAAGGTTTTCTTTAACTTGTTGTTAAGGAGGCGATGAGAAGTTGATGAAGTTAAGAACAAATTTGGAATACAGCTTATACTGTAACTGTACGCGGCAAGCTTTGTGCAATAACTCTTTCTTATTGTCAGAAACGTTAACGGTGTGCGCACAGTACTCTCCAAAGTTTTAACCTAGTCGGATGAATGGTATAGGAACGCATAAAACACTAATGTACTGTCCGTACAGATAAAGAATGGGATTATATATGGCGGCTCATCGAGTTCGTACCGTCAACATGTACACACAGTACCATTAGCGAAAACCCGCTAATAACGGTTTATCGTTGTAACGTTATATTATTCGGTTAGTTGGAAATTCTCTTTTAATGGTATGTTTGGAAATGTCTGAAAATAATTGTATACGCAAGTAGATACATTAATTTGAAAATAACATTTATGACTAGTGACCCGCTCTGGCTTCACCTGGTTGGGATCTATTAATGTGTCTTTATTTAGAACTGGCTGTTCCCCGCGACTTCGCCCGCGTGTGATTTGGGGTTTTAATATTTTTGCGCGGAATCCTAATTGTTTTTCTAAAACAAAAGTAGCGTAAGTTACTCCTTGAGACATCAGCTATCTGCCAGTGAAAATCCCGTCAAAATCGGTCCAGCCGTTGCGGAGATTAGCCGGAACATACAGACAGACAGACAGACAGACAAAAAATTTAAAAATTGTATTTTTGTTATTAGTATCGTATACTTTCATATGCATTTAGTAAAAAGCTGTAATTTTGACGATACAAACAGACACTTCAATTTTATTTATTTGAAGATTAAGATAATCATTAATGACCATCATTTTATTACATATAATATATAGTCGCTAAACTCTAAATCGATCGAATAGTGTTTTTAAACATAAATTACACCTCATGTAAATTGCATCTGTGCGATTTTGGGGCGGATTGCTATTAATTATATATAAAGAAACATTACTTACCTTATAAATTTTAATTTAAACTTAATTATCTCGTTAAAATGAGCAGCCATAATTATAAGGAAAAATAACACGATACAGGTATTTTGAATTACATGAAGAGGCAGTCGAGGGCAATGTAATTAGAGGAACGTCTGAAGCAATTTTGCGAAATATTCAAATATCAGCTAAGCGAGAGGAGCAGAACGAAAAGAAAGATTTCCAGACGTGTATTACGGCATCGTTTTTGCCGTATTTAATTGAAAGGCGGTAGCGAATGCGATATAGCAGCGAATCGCAATATTTTCTCCAATTGTTAATCTATTTCATGATTTTTTTTTAAATTAAACATATGCAAAATGAGATTAATTTGGAGAAATAATTCCAAAATAGGAGATGAAGTTTCCAATGTAACTATTTAGACAATATTCTAGTCGTTACTTTGAGGGTGTTTACCAAAGTCCAATTATAAGGGTCAAAAATTTAAATCTCCAAAATGGCTGGACCGATTTTCATTGGCAGAGAGCCGATGTTATAAAGAGTAACTTAGGTTACTTATAGTTTAGAAAAAGGGTTCCACATAAAAAAAATTAAAACCCATGAAATCGAATCGTAATAAATTACGAGTGGACGAAGTCGCGGCGAACAATTATTTTTTTATTGTTAAAAGTAAAAGCTGACTTCAAAGATCTAAAAGAAATAAAATAATCGAATCTGTCACTGAATATCAGCGTAAAATACCTGCTTAATGTCGCTGTGTTGCATATGGGGAGTGTAGAGTATCGGAGATACTTTTTACTGGAAACGAGGCATTCCATTGTAGTCCTCAAGGGTCATTCTTAATCGAAGATATATGTAAATGCCTGTGGGCCCTAGCATCCACTAATCATCAGGTGGACTGTGTGCTCATTTGTCACCCTTATTCTATAAGTATTAATAAAAATTCCACATATAAGTCGCGATACGTAAGTCTAGCGCTGGACGAAACGTGGAGGGGACGGGGACGCATTGAATTGCACGCATGCGGCTGGAGAGCCAATCAGATCGTGCGAACGATACACACGAGCCAATCACCGCGACTTATGCACAAATAAGCCATTCAGCGCGACTTATTCGCAATAACGGTCACCGCTAGAATTTCGTGTCGCTACTTATAGCAACTTCAAAAGTCTCGGCTTTATTTATATCATTATTTTAAACTTTTCAGTTCTTTAAAGTCAACTTTTACTTTTTATTAAATGTTTAAACGTTACCGTCTACTACACAGTACACACGTCCCACTTCTGGACATAGGCATCTGATTTCTGAGATGCTTTTTAATATCCGCCGTCCTGCTAATGCGTGTTGGCGGAATTCACGTCTTAGAAATACTTTTCTTTAATTTCTCAGACGTGCAGGTTTCCTTACGATGTTTTCTTCACCGGTGAGCACATCGTAAATTAAGATTTGAATTTTTAATTATATTTTTGATTAAATGCTTGACATTACTTTCCTAAAATAAAAGAGGCCTGTCTCGAGAAGAAAGAAGGTATAATATTTAATTATTACTTTTGATTTGAACCATTAGTCACTCAGCGATTAATGGGGAGGTATCTTAGCCCGACTGATGAGCAAGCTGTAGTTCCAATGGATTGGAATGTCATCATCATCATTACAGCCCTTCACAAGTCCACTGCTGAACATAGGCCTCCCCCAAAGAATGCCACAAAGCACGGTCCTGAGCCACCTGCATCCATCGACTTCCTGCATATCTTACCAGGTCGTCACTCCATCTAGTGGGGGGACGCCCTACACTTCGCCTGCCGGTACGAGGCTGCCACTCGAGAACCTTTCTTCCCCATCGGTTGTCGGTTCTTCGAGTTATATGGCCGGCCCATTGCCACTTCAGCTTACTAATCCGTTGGGCTATGTCGGTCACTCTAGTTCTACTGCGGATATCCTCATTTCTGAGTTTATCACGCAGAGAAACCCCGAGCATAGGGATTGGAAGCATTGGAGCATTGCCGTGTAGTGGCGGTTAAGAATATCCACTACCCCATATCTTCCCGTGGGTGTCGTAAAAGGCGACAAAGGGAAACAGGCAGCAGATGGGCAGCAGCATCTTCCTGATAATAGCCAAAATAACAATAAAAAAACTGCGGTTGCCAACCCGCTCGCCAAGCGTGGCAACTATGGCAATATACCCCCCATGAGCAATGACAATAATAAACGGATTGGAATGTAATTACAATATTTTAATAAAATGATACTTTGCACAAGCTTTTTTTTTAAAACAACTAGTTGTGGAATGATAGAGCCAAGCGCGCGGATTCGAGGTGTTTTCATTTTATTTTAAGCTTACACTAGTCAGCCAGAAACAGTTTACACAATATCTATTAAATTAAATTAACTTTAAAATATAACTCAATATTGCAACTGACACTATTGAACACAAAATTAAGTTTATAAAAGTTCAGGAAGTAGCGCACAAAATATTTAAATATAACTTAAATTTAAAAATTTAAAAATCCCCGAAACGGCTCAACAGATTTTTTTGAAACACAGCTGAGAACCCTCTCGATTAAGACACCTGTCAAACGAAAAAAAAACTTAATCAAAGTCGGTTCATCCGTTCAGAAGCTATGTGCCACAGGCAGTCACACAGATACACACTACAAACTTATAACACCTCTATGTTTTTGTTAGGGGTTAATAAAGGTCTTGGCCCACTATAACTGCAACTATGATAGATAGATATTAAATACATGGAGAGCCATGTTGCAGCTATATTATGGTTGTAGCGAGTACAGGTCGGCACGACCGGGAATGACCACGCTCTCACAGTATACCAGCATAACATAGCAGGTCAATGCTATGTGCTCGTTTGTCACCGTAATACATTAAGAAATAATTTTTATTAAGAATAACTCAAAAGCTATTGGCCTGACCTTGATCAAATTCATATGGGACCACATGTGAAGTACCAGCTTTCAAATAAATCATCGAAATCGGTCCAACCCGTAAAAAGTTATCGAGGTAACACCCATAAAAAAACATACAGTCGAATTGAATACCGTCTCCTTTTTGAAGTCGGCAGAAAAACTATTTACGTTGAGCTTACGCGCTTACAACACGTGTGGTCGCCTGTATCATGGCATGTTACGATGTTAGTCGGTGATGGAACGGTGGGTAGTAAGCGTTGTTGCATACTAATTTATACGAAGATTTTTTTTTTATCTGGTACTGAAATTATTACGTTACTATTACGCGTCATCGCTCCCGCATTTGTGTAATTTAGATATTAAACTATACAAAAATATGGTATAGTGTATATATTACAATTACAATAACGCTATATTTAGCGATTATACAACAACACATAGAATAGAATAGAATAGAATAGAATAATTTTTTATTCAATATAGATCACATGTGTAATTATTATCGAAAGTCATTTTTTACTTTACCACTGGTTCGAAAAAAAACCCTCTGTCCTGGGAAGAACCAGAAAGAAACCCAGCGTTACTTTTTTTTAAAGTAAATTTTACATGAATGGTTGTACAAACTATATAAGTACAAAATTTATTTTAGAAACAGCTTGGAAGCGATCACCTCGTTCCCAGGGGTTATTATCAACCATGTATTCATTTATACTATAATAACCCTTTTTATACAGTTTCAGCTTAATTAAACATTTAAACTTGGTAATAGAGAGAGCCTGTACACTTTCCGGGATCTTGTTGTAATAGCGTATACATTGCCCCAAGACTGAATTACTGACTCTGTGGAGTCGAGAAACTGGTATCACTAGCTTGTGTTTGTTCCTAGTGTTTACAGAATGTATATCACTTTTTTTACTAAAACTACCTTTGTTTTTGTGAACATACATTAAATTTTCGTAAATTCTTTAAATTTAATTTCTTTAAATTTATCTCTAAGAGACTCTCTCGGTTTTAGGTTGTAAATAGCTCTAATGACCCTCTTCTGTAAAACAAAAATAGTTTCTGAAATCATATCATACAACACAAACACTCACGCCTGTCACCCAGA